TATTAACATGTTAGAGGAACAAAAATTTCCTGTCAGATCTATGGATAAGGGAAGGATTCAAAACCTAGTACTATGGATATACATGTAGCACTTTTCTTTTAAAATAATCCTTTGGATCACATTTTCTTTTGTTGTTTACGGCAACTAGGTAGCACAGTGGGTAGAGTGCCAGGCCTGGAGTCAGGAAGACTCAGTTTTCTGAGTTAAAATCTTGCCTCACACATTAACTAACTGTGTGACCCTGGGCAAGTCACTTAACCCTATTTGCTTCAGTTTTCTCATCTGAAAAATGAGCTGGAGAAGGAAGTGGCAAATCACTCCAGTATCTTTGCCAAGAAAATGCCAAATGAGGTTACAAAGAGTCGGACATGCCTGAAACAACTGAACAACAAGTTTTTATTCTTTTGCTGCTACAAATATTTTATTGGGGTGGAGGGAATGGAATTGTATCATGGAAAAAATGGTCTTCAAGTCAAACAAAGACCTGGGTCCTGGTTCTGCCATTTACTAGCTATTTGACATTAGTTAAGTCACTCAAACTATCTGATCCTTAATTTCTTTTTCTGTCAAATAGAAATAATAATATTTATACTACCTTAAGTAGACAATGCTTTATAAACTTTAAGCTTCAAATTCACAGGATTTTGCACTGAAAGAGATCCTCAAAATCATCTATGACCACTTACAATTTTGAATATTAATGCATTTAATTTATTTATAAAAAGAAAATTACTTACAAAATGGATAATTCCTGTTTGTTATGCAGAACCTACCTGACAAGGTAGGTTGTAATGTAATTGAAGCTGTAATGAAATAACATGCAAAGTGCTTTGGAAACTCAAAAGCACTGCTGTGATGATGACTAGAAGTCTAATTCCTTTGTTGTGCATGTGTGCAGGTGTGTATTGTAGATAATGAAACTGCAGTCCAAAAAAGTTGTGTAAGATGTCCTCTGAGGTCACATGAGCAATATGTAACAAATCCAAGGTTTCAATTCAGATCCTTTGACTTCAAATCCATCATTCTTTCTACTATAACAATCCTGTCTAGGTCAGCTCTCAGTCTTCAACTACTACAGACTAGGAAAGTCTCATTAAGTGAGTAAAGATCCCAAAATCAGTTAGTGCCAGGACTCAGATTAGTACCCAGGTACCGACAATCCACTGGAGAGGACTTTGGAACAGAAGGGAGAGGGAAAATTCTAAACAGAATTGTAAACAGAAATACTACATTGCTGTAAGTCATTTGTATCCACATGCAGGTGAGGGAAAAGTAAAAGCAAGTTAGAAGTATGATGAGATAGTTCTGCAACTTTCTGAAAATTCTATAAAATTTAGTCATTCACTAATTTATTCAACAAATAATACTTGCCATTCATATAATAGCTAGCCTTTCATAGTGCTTTAAGATAGGCAAAGTGCTTCATAAATATTATCTAATTTTATGTTTGCAACAACACTGAATGGTAGGTATCATTATCCCCTTTTTACCAATAAGGAAACTGAGGCAGAGGTTAAATAACTTGCCCAGGTGAGTTTCTAAGGTAAGATTTGAACTCAAATCTTCCTAGCTTCAAGTTCAGCACTCTATCTACTGTGACACATAGCTCCATAAGTCCTTACAATGTGCAAAGCGAGGTAGCATGGTATAGTGGGAAAAGTGTTGAACCTGGAGTTAGGAAGACCTGAGTTCAAATCCCATCTCTGATACTAGCTTTGTGACCTTAAAGCCACATAACTTCTCTATGCCTCAGGTCATTCTCTAAAATGAAATTATTTTTCATTATTGACCTCTTTAAAAAGTTCTGTGTTAGTAGGGAAAGTACAAAGATTAAATAAAACACCAGTCCATCACCCTTACAAAGCTTGCACATTCTCAAATTACTATAGTACAAAACAATACGAGACAAATGCATAAGATAGATGCAAGCAGAACTCTTTGTGAAAACTGAGGGAAGAAAGGTTACAACTGAAGAATCAAGGAAGACTTCCTGGAGGAGGTGACATTTGAGTGGGCTAGGTTGACAAGGATTTTGAAAGGTGGAAACAGGAAGATACCCATTTTAAAGTATATCTCCCAGCTATTTAATAGCCCCAAAACCCAATATTGTTTTTTTTTCAAAAGAAAACCTAGTATTATAATGTAAACTAAACAAATTCTATAAGCATTTGTCCAAATGGCCTATTTTTTGTCAATGGTGAGAAATTATCTTTTTGCAGTTCACTCTCCTATTTGAAATAATGAATTTTGTGGGTCTACTGTTTGAGATATTTAACCCACAGGATATCACCTTTCCCTTTCTTCCAATGATTCTGGACATGTTTAAAATAATGTCTGCCAGTCAGTTTCTCCACAACAATCATTTTTGAAGAGTTACAAAAATAATTGAATACAGGCCCTCCTATTGATTGCATTATTAATTAAATCCCTATGGCTTTTGTTCTGTATATTTATTTTTAGTCAAACAAAAGATGTCCTGTTCTTTTCTAAGGTCCATTGATTAAAAGTACAAATGTTAGGTAACTCTGGTGTTCCCACCCACTTTAAACACGACTCCTTTCCTCATTCACCATCAACTTCTCCTCCATTATCTTAATGGAAAGGTTAAGGTCCAAAATACATGTATGTATGTGTACATGTGTGTTTGTATGTTTATATGTCTAACACACTTAGAGTATCACAGTGATCCTCAGGATGGTATATATTGATAGTAAGTGTTGGGAAGCTAAGAATGACGATGATTCTACTGATATTATGTATTACCATAACATTTAGCTCCATACCTTAAACTGCTCTGCTCTCTCAGTCCAAATGTTTTTTACTGGTTACACAGAGTTGGACAGGGCCAGGATTGGATGTCCTCCATGAGGAAGACTGAGGAAACTCTTTGTGATACTAGGCCAGTCTCTGAAGTGACAAGACACTTTTGCCACATTTCCATCTTGCGCAAGGGTAGGTTGTCCCATAGGCTACAAGGTGAAATGTTCTTTGGATCTCTCTATAATAGTCCACACTTCAGAAAGGGATAAAAAGACTTCAATGTTTATGCTGCTAAGGTGTTGTGTCACTATAATTTTAGTGGCAGTGTGAAATTAGAGAAAGAAGAATGGGAAGTGGAGTGAGAAGAGCTTGGTTCTAGCAATGAGCTACACTTCATTTCACTGTAGCAGAAAGAGCATGGATTTGGAGTGGGAAGATCTGAATTCAAATCCTGATTTTGCTACCTGAGATCCTGTGACTCTTGGGTAAATAATTCGATTTTTCTAGTCCTCAATTTTTACTTCTATACAGTGATAAAGTTGGACTATATGATTTCTAAGGTCTTGTGCAAGGTCCCTCTAAATCCTAGAACAACTTGAGAGCTATGTGCCTTGAGCAAATAAATCACTTAACCACTCAGGGTTTGGGAATCTCTGGGGATTATACCTCTATGACTGCCTCCCTAACAGGGATGTTGGAAGGATTGAATGAGATAATGGTTTTACAAACTTTGATGATTTCTCCTTTCGAAGCATTCTCTCTTACAATTAAAAGCAATGCGCATGTTTTCTGTTAACATGTGATACCTCTTCTCACATGGAAGTATGATTCCTCTCAGAGATAAGTTTGACAGAGTGGTCCATAATCCCAGGGAAAATTTTCTAGCTTTGTTTTTAATGAGAAAAAAAGCAATCACTTCTAGGGGGAAATGGACAATGGATGTAATTTGAAGGATTTGATTTGATTTCTCATATGAAAATCTGTTTATATCATGTTATGTGTAGTAGAGAAAGCATCATCATAATTGACTTTTTTTTAACTTTTTGCTGAACAGTTTTCAAAATACAAAACTTCAAGGGAAATGTTATATGACTTTAAAATGGTGTGAATATAACTTTTTAAAAAGAACGTAGTATCTCAGACATCATGGAAAATATCTGAACCTTAGAAAATGACCTTAACATTCATCTATCCATACAACCATTCACTCATGCAGCTTGCCCTGGAGAAACTTACAATCTTGCTTAATTAGAAAAGCTGGAATTTTAGTCCTTAGCTAAGTACACACAAAAGTGAAGTTTAAAAAAATTACGTAGCTCATAGTTTGGATTTTTGAGCTAGTAGAGACCCTTAGAGGTCATCTAGGCCAAGCCACTCATTTTGCAGATGAGGAAATTGAAGCCCAAAAAGGTTAAAGTTGCCCAAAATTGCAAGTTAGGTAGCAGCAGAACTGGTATTAGAATTCAGATTTACTAATTCTTAGGTCAGTGCACTTTCTATTATCCCACATTGGCTTCTCCAAGCTCCTTCAGTCAGTGAAGACAACCAAACAAATATTTGCATCAGTTTTTCATTGAGGTTTTCCTAAGTAGACAGAACCTTCACATGGCTAAAGGAGTTATTGCATATATTTACCCTATGGGTAAAATACAAGACTGTATGTCTCCTAAATGGGTTTTTAATGTAGGTAAAAATCAGCAAACCCATTTAAGCTTCACCCAAAAGACCATTCTACCTGGGGAAGGCAGAAATATCTCCAACCAAAAAAAGAAATAATCAGAACTACACCAAGATAAAAAAAAACATTCCTGGGTGACACGGAAAGAAATTTGAAATGAATAGGTTATAAGGCTTTCCTTGGTTTGTACTTTTTAGGTTTGTTTTGATAAGTACTGAGTAATAGCTCTCTGGTCCTTTATTTTCTCTAAAGTAAACTTTCCCTATAGTCAAGAAAAAGAAAAGTAAGATCATTGTTTTCATCCTTGATTTTCGTAATTTGCTTTTAGTCTTCAGGAGAAAAAAAAATCTAGCTATTTCATGAGACACTTGGACACCTGTACCACATGAAGTAAAATCATAACAAAGCACCTCATTGACCAACAGCAAAAGAATTCCTTCTGCTCCACCCTCCCTTCCCACCCTTTGGCAAAAGACTGAGTAAATAGCTAGGTTTAGTGCCAGTACTTTAAGGTCAACAAACTTCTGCTTTGTCAGTTGAACATGGGAATTAAATCAAGTACCTTTCATGGCAACGCCCTCTCTTCTAGCCCCATGAATATCCAAGTCGGAATATTATTAGCAAAAGCACCTTGAAGAGACCTGCCAGGACTGGGTGCAGCAGGCATTCTGACACAGTCACACATCACCTAGAAAATTTGGAGATGTCACCTTATCTGACCTTAGGTTACAGGAACTGTGGATTCATTTGGACTGGAGGGAAGAAAGTACACACATGCGGAAGTTCAGAGGCATCATTACTAACTCCTACACTTTTGGATGATTTCATAGAGAAGAAAGAACTTCCTAAATCTCAAAGGAGGCCATAAATTTGATTTTTTATTATTATATGTTCTAATTCTGTCTCTAGATCCTTTCCCTTCTGGATCTACTTTTTCTGTTTAGAATGTAAGATCCTTGAGGGGAAAGACTGTTTAATTTTTTCTGTATATCCTCAGTGCTTAGCATAGTATAGTAGGTCCTTAATAAATATTGATTGATTCTCAACAATCAATTTGAACCTAGAAGACTTTCAGGCCATATTCATATTTGTATTATTCCCTACAGTATGCATACTGTATATTCTAGCCCAAATTATGGACTTCTTTCTATTCATCAAACTTGACATTTCATCTCTCACCTCTGTTTCTTTATACAGGCTGTTCTTCCCTTCTACTCTACCCTTCCAACCTGCACTCCTTCCTCATCTTTATATGCCTTTTAAAATCTGTTAAAGTAATTGGGAACCCAGAGGACTTTGTATACAATAGCAGCCACGTTATGCAATGACCAAGAATGTTAAACTGAACCCTTCTCAGCATTACGAGGATCTAAGACATCTCCAGAGGCCTCGGGATGGAAAATGCTGTCCACATCCAAAGAAAGAACTATGGAAGTCGAATCGCTCTCACTTAATTTTACCTTAAGTTGAATTTTGTTTCATCTTTCTGATGGTTCCTCCTATTGGTTTTAATTTTTACTTACAACTTCACTAATGTGAAAATATGTTTAATGGGTACGTAAATGTAAAGTCTATGTCAGATTGTGCACCGTCTTGGGGAGGGTGGGGGGGAGAAAAAGGGAGAAAAAATTTTCAACTCAAAAACATATGGGAAAAAAAATTTAAAAAAAAGAAAAGAAAAGAAAAGAAAAAAAGAAAAAAAGTAATTGGGAAGGTTTATTCTGGAGAAGGCTCAGGGAAAGGCCATGTTTCCTGTCTTCAAGTATTGGAAGGACACTGAAGGAGAGATTTAACTTATTCTATTTAGTCTCAGAGGGCAGAATGAGGAAAAATGGATAGAACTTGAAAAGAAGTAAATTGAGGCTTGATGTCAAGGAAAACTTTCTAATAATTAGAACTGTCTAAAAGTGGACTGAGCTACTTCAAGAGACAGTGGGTTCCACCTCTTCAAAGGTCTTCAAACGGTCAAGAACACTTAGTAATAGGAGGGATTCCTTTCATCTGCAGGATACACTAGAGGGCTGCTAAGGGCCTTTACAATTTTTAGCTTTTGCATTTCTGTAAATCCTCATCTTCCTTTGGGGCTTAGTTCAGGAACTACCTCCTCTAGCTGTTAGTGCTCTCTCTCATCTCAAAGTACCTGCATGCAGGTTATATCTCCTCCAGTAGACTATGAACTTAAAGGTGAGAATTGTTCATGACTATCTTTGTATCATCTTATACAACCACTTGCACATAGCTGGGCTTCAATGAACATTTGTTTAAATTAATTCTGCCACATAGTGCAGTAGAAAGAAAGCCAGTTTTGGAGAGACCTGTGATCAAATCCTAGCCATGCCATTTATTCCTTATGTTCTCTTGGGCAAGTTGTTGAAAATAAAAATTGAAAATAAAAATGAATAATATTAACTACCATTGAGAAAATGCTTTAAAAGTTGCATAGAGCCTAACAAATATTACCTCATTTTAACCTCATAACCTCATTTTAACCTTGGGAGACAAGTGTTATTATCTCCAATTACATGATGAGGAAAGTAAGGCAGATAGTGGTTAAGTGATTTGCCCAAGATCACATGGATAGTGTGTGTCTGAGGCTGGATTTTAACTCTAGTCTTCCTGACTCCAGGCCCAATGCTACCTGGACCTTATTTTTCTTATCTATAAAATGGGGAGGAAAATGTGTGTGGATCAGATGTCTTTTAAGTTCTCTTGCAGGTCTAAATTTATCATACTCCCAAAAAAGATCATAAAAGTGGGAAAAGGGTCCATATGTACATAAATATTTAAACCAGCTCTTTTTGTGGTGACCAAGAATTGGAAATTAAGAGGATGCCCATCAATTGGGGAAGGGCTGAACAAATTGTGGTATATTAATGTAATGGAATATTATTGTTCCATAAGAAATGATGAGCAGACAGATTTCAGAAAAACCTGGAAAGACTTACACAAACTGATCCTAAGTGAAATGAGCAGAACCAGGAGAACATTGTACACAGTAACAGCAACATTATGCAATGAACAATGTTCATAGACTCAGCTCTTCTCAGCAATGCAGTGAACTAAGACAGTTCCAAAAGACTTAAGACAGAAAATGCTATCCACATCCAGAGAAAGAACTATGGAGTCTGAATGCAGATCGAAGCATACTATATTCTTTCTCTCTCTCTCTCTCTCTCTCTCTCTCTCTCTCTCTCTCTCTCTCTCTCTCTCTCTCTCTCTCGCTCTTTCTTTGTTTTTTTTTTCTCATGGTTTTTTCTTTTATTCCAATTCTTCTTTACAACATGGCTAATGTGGAAATATGTTTAATATGATTGTACATGTATAGCTCATATCAGATTGTGTGCCATCTTTGGGAGAGAGAGGGGAAGGAGGGTGAGAAAGTTTTAAACTCAAAATCTTATAAAAGTGAATGTTGAAAACTAAAACCAAATAAATAAAATTTTTTTAAAATTGTTTAAATAAATAAAAATAAATTTATGATACTATGAGCCCAGAAGACAGCTATGTAGTTGATTAGAAGGACTTTCAGAAAGGATCACTATTTATTTATAACATGTCAGTGGTACCTGGCAGAGAGCAATAGTTAGAAAATAATCAACTATTAACATCTTAGTTCAAATTTTTTAGCATCCTGAACCCTTTTGAAGATTCTAGTGATAGCTTTCTTAAGAAATGTCTTGAACTTTGAATTGGGCCTAAAGGATTATAACTCTTCATAAGAAGGTAAAACATCTTCCATTTCTACAGTGTTTTAAGATTTCCAGAGCATTTGCTCTCAACAATACCGTAAGGTAGTTATCCCCATTTTTCACATGAGGAAAAAGAGAAAAAAGGGAAAAGGGAAGTGACTTGCCCATAGTAACACAGCTAGTGAATGGTGATGTCAGGATTCAGAGGCCTAAAAGTTCAGGTGTTCATTATGGCCTGAATTTTGAGTCAAACTGCCCAGTGTGCTAAACAGTTCTGCTCTCCTGATGGGTCTAACTATTGGCCTCCAGGCTTAAACTCACAAAATGGTAGAGCTAAAAAGAGTCTCAAAAATCACCTAATCCAAATCTTTCACTTTAGGGATAAGAAATTGAGTACCAGATTGGTGACAAAGAAACATATCCAGGTTTTGACTAGATTAGGTGGTTGACCTAAAGCGATTAGACAAATCCCTCACATTGGCCAAACTGTTGTACAGAATTTCTAGAAACTTTAGCTTTTCCTTTTTCCCTTCCCTCCCTCCCAGAAAAGTATAAAAAGGGGCAAATTACCACCATAGGCTACCAGGCAAAGACCCAGTGGTAAGAAAGGAGTCACTGAAGTAATACCTGTGGCTCCCACCCCAGAGTTCCCAAGGGTCCTGTTTGATGAGCACCAACTAAAGTAAGCCAGTTGCTCCAGCCATGCCTCACTTAATTCCCTCACTATCTTTTTGCCAGCTACTTTGCCATCATATTTATACCTTCTATGCCATCTCCCACCTTCTGGTCCTAGAACCATAACTTCAACCATTACTGACACTCCTACTGGAAAGAGTATGTTAATTTACTCCCCTGTGGCTCCATTAATTCCTGTAGCTTTCAAAAATAAAAACCCTCCTGGGCACTTCTTCTCTTTCTGAATTACACCCCCCACCCCAATGAAATTTAAGTTCCTTGGAGTGATGAAGGGGCAAGGGCTATCTTTGCTTTTGCATTTGCATCCTCAGTGCTTAGCAGAATGCTTGCAACTTAGTAAGCATTTGTAACTTTTTATTCATTCACTTTATCTTCTTTTATCCTTCATAGTCCCATCACTGTCCTTAGCACTCAGGGACTTACTTCACTTTTTCAAGGGTCAGGGATATCCTTGGTGTGGGAGGGATCTCTTACCGCCAAGGTAGCAGGCAGAGACCATATTTCCAGACTGAAAGTCATCACCTTGAAGCCACTCTGCTGAGGAGTTTCCCTGCTCTTAGCACTCCCTGATGCTTCCCAGACAACAGACATAGTCTGTCACTGGATTTCTGTTTTGAAGCCCTTTCTTTCTTTTGATAGGACCTGCCAGAGTTTGTGTTTTATTTGCACATCTTTCAGGGTCACCACCTGGGACCTTGATATCAATGTGATATCAGAATGGGATTTTGTTGTAATTCCTTAAAGTCATATTCCATACATTTAAAAAAAAGTTTTCATTGGACATATTCTTATGTCACTGATGCATCTCTTTTCTTGTCTCTTTGTTGTGTCCTCATAATTGGACTGTAAGCTCTTTCAGATCAAGGGACCATGTTTTCCATTACTTTTGTACTTCCACAGATTCTATCAGAGTATTCAGTATATGGTAGTCTGTTAATAAAGTTTTCTTCTACTTGACCCTAACCCAGTAGCCAAAATAGAGCCAAGAATCCATGACAGAAGAAAACAAGTTACCCTTGAGTAATGCCATAACTTCACTTAGACTCCTCCCATTAGAGAGCAGTGAGTCAGAGAAACAGAAACTTAACATTCAAATAGTTGAGCTGATTCAGAATGGACATTATGAACCACTACCCCTTTGGAGTACTAGTCTTCTTTCTATATTCCCCTACTCCCTCCTAGCCATTATTCTCACAACAATGAAGAGGAAGTCTTTGCAACATTGACTGCCAAACTTTAATCTTGTCATAGTTTTCTACCAAAGACCCTAAATGTACAAAAAAAAGTAACT